TCTTCTTTCCTGGGGGGGCGTGACAGAAAATAATGGAGAAACACTGGACTAGAGGGTCAGCATGGTGTAGTGGTTTGAGCATTGGACTATGACTGGAGACCAGGGTTCAAATTCCCAATCAGTTATGGAAACCCACTGGGTGATCTTGGGCAAGGTGCACACTCTCAGCCTCAGAGGATGGCAAGGGCAGGCCCCTTTCTTAACTAATCTTGCCAAGAAAACCCCATAATAGGTTTGCCTTAAGGTCACCCTAAGTCAGAAATGACTTGAAGGTACACAACAACAAATGCTGATGTCCAGTCCTCAGCCCTTGGACATCTGCAGTTTGCTCCATCAAAACTTATGAACCATACTGTATGAGGTGCATTACAACAGTTTGGGTCACTTCCTGTGGTTAAAAAAAAAAAGGATCCTCCTCAGCCTAAAATGATCTGAAGGGAGGAAAGTATGTTGTAAATGCCCCCATGTTCCCTAGAGGGCATTCTCTATAGGGAGATGTAGCCCACCAAGGTCTCCTGGACCTGGCAATGCAGCCCCTGACAAGTTGTTCATCCTGCATCAGGGATATACAAGCACAGGGATGCTGTTTTTTTGTACTGCACATACCATGTACTTCTATGCCAAAGTAACATCCCCCGCCCTGCACTGCCAATTTGTACACTAAAAACAAAATTAGCTCATGTTAATTTGTCTGCTGAACATCTCTATCAGCATGACAAAAGATACAGGTATTGGGGAAAGGTACTTTTATCTAAATTATTTGCACTTCTTCATATGTTCAGACAGTCCCTAGCTTGCTAGTAGGCTAGAGGGATTTTCTTCAGAATGATTTCCAGGTCATATAAAAGAAAGTACAAAAGCAGATTATGTGTTCTTCTGCTTTGCAACATTATTTTAATGCTTTTCTTATGTGAAGATCAACATCATTGTTTGCAGAAGGCAATTGGATGAACAGCTAATGCAAGCAGTGGCTAGACTTACTTTTCTTCTCTGCCATAAATCACAGAAAAATAACAGCAATGTGGTAAGGTAAATGTGATTAAAATGAATATTACCGTATTTTCCAGCATATAAGACGACTTTTAAAGCCAGGAAAATCTGGGTTAAAGTCGGGGGTCGTCTTATATGCCGGGTATAAAGACAAGGAGGAGGACAGAGGCGAGAGGGGGGAAGAAGCCAGTCAAGAGGAGGACGGGGACAACAAGGAGGACGGGGGTGGTAAGACAGGAAAAAGCTGGGAGAGAAGAGGGAAGAAGCCAGGAAAAAAGGAGGGAGAAGCCAGGCAAGAGCATGTGGAGGACAAGGAGGACAGGGGTGATGAGTCGGGAAGAAGCCAGGAGAAAGAAGAAGCAAAGAAAGAGCATGTGGAGGACAAGGAGGACTGGGATGGCGAGGCAGGAAGAAGCCAGGAGAAAGGAGGGAAGAAGCCAGGCAAGAGCATGTGGAAGACAAGGAGAACGGGGTGATATTCAGGAACATGCATGTCCTTTTGAACTATTTACCTCAGGGGTAGGCAACCTTTCCCCTTTAAGGGCCGAGGGACTTCAGCTCCCAGAAGCCTCAGCCATGTTGGCCAATAGTCCCATGTTGGCCAGTAGCTCCTGGGATTCTGGGAGCTGAAGTCCCTCGGACCTTAAAGGGGAAAGGTTGCCTACCCCTGATTTACCTGTTTCTTGGAAATTAACAAATGGCCAATGGAAGAGGATTTATTGCACCCACTTGACTGCTAAAAGATTGATACTTCTTTACTGAAAAGATAACTTTCTTCCACCTGTGATCCAATGAACATTTAGAAGATCTATCCAGGATCTAAAGCTTGCAACATTTGAAAGAATGATGTACAGACAAAATTTACAAATGGACTAGCATTTGAATGTTTGGTCAGCGTAGGACTAATGTGGTTATTGTTGCTTCTGTTATGTATTTATGCACGCGCTTTTGTTATACTGAAACGTATGTCATTGCATGTAAATAAATAATAAAAAAGGAAGGAAGGAAGGAAGGAAACAGCAATATTACCCACCTGGAATCTATGAACCAATGCCAGTGCCTGGCTGTCATTTTGGTCAGCTTCAATGATGACATCTGTCAGTTTATGGATGATCACATCTAATGGGCCCTGATCTTCTATTGGTTTTGTAAGGTCAAGCTGGATGAAAATAGTAATGGAAAACAGAGAAAAGTGTTATTTTATAAAAGATCACATTTTTGGTTTCTAATTACATTTTCCAAGAAAATTCACCCTCAGATGTAACAGTATTTTTCAGTAAACAGTTGTCCAGTTGAAGCATGAGAGCCTGCCCTGTTTAACAACAGCATTTTTTCATTTTACCCAGAAATGTCTTGATTCAATGGGCAATGACTTTCCAAGCAGTGTTCATTAGCCACCATTTCTTAGAACAACCTGAAGTCAACATAATAAAATTGTTTTTTATTATAGTTGTTTGGTTCAGGTAACTAGTAGCCCAGTTCTGAGCCAGTAGTTCCTAGGCTTAGATCAAAAATCACAGCCTAAATCCTGTTATTAGTTGTGACTACAGTAAACCACTTGAGTCATAGAATCACAGAGTTGGAAGAGACAACAAGGGCCATCCAGTCCATTCCCCTGCCATGCAGGAACTCAAAATCAAACCATCCCCGACAAATGGCCATCCAGCCTCTGTTTAAAGACCTCCAAAGAAGAAGACTTCAGCACACTTTGAGTGAGTGTGTTCCACTGTCGAACAGCCCTTACTGTCAGGAAGTTCCTCCTAATGTTGAGGTGGAATCTCTTTTCCTGGAGCTTGCATCCGTTGTTTTGGGTCCTAGTCTCTGGAGCAGCAGAAAACAAGCTAGCACCCTCCTCAATATGACATCCCTTCAAATATTTAAAGAGAGCTATCATATCCTCTTTCAATGGGATTTGCCTATGTGTTCACTCACCATCAACAATTGGGTCTAGATGAGTTGGGACTAACCAAAAGGATGAAAGTCCACAACTCCTAGCACCACTGAAAACTGTCATGATGGTTAGTGATGACAGGAAGAGTAGTCCAAAACATCTGGTAACCTAGCAATCAATTTCTCACACCCCAGATTTTTCCAAGCTGTAGATAGTTATAATTCTTTAAACTGAAGATGCTGGCATTAAATGAAGATATGACCAAAGGTTGGATTCTACCACTTAGGTGAATTTTGTCCTCCTGCTACAGTGCAGCTACAGTGCACACATATTTCTCCAAATTGTACATCATTTATATTTACATTATTTAATATAAAAAAGCTGCAAGCTGGCAGCTAAGGCCACAAAACTTTTTTTGCCTTCATAAGAGAAACACTTTTGGGTGCTCATGGTAAAGCAGGGATCGGCAACTCATGTAACTCCAGTTGTTTTAGGACTGCAATTCCCATCATCCCTCTCAATTGGTTGTGCTGGCAAAAGAGATGGGACATGCAGTCCAGCAATATCTTGGGCCCATAAATTATCTATCCTTGTAGAATTGTTGTTGTTATTACTGTGTGTCTTCAGGTTTCTGACTTATAGCAACCCAAAAGTGAACTTATCACAGGGTTTCCTTGGCAAGATTTATGCAGAGGGGGTTTGCATTAGCTTTCTTCTGAGATCAACTGTGACTTGCCCAATGGGTTTCCAAGCCCAAGCAGGGGTTTGAACCCTGGTCTTCAGAGTAATAGTCCAACACTCAAACCACAACACCATGCTGACTCCTTGTAGAATTAGAATTTTAAAAAAGAAATTAAAATTTTTCAGAATGCCTGTCTTGACTGATTTGTCTTCTTGCAACTGTATCCCTGAGATATGAATATAAAACTTTAAACTTTTTTTAATTAATTAATTAAAGCTATTTCTTTTAATGAAAATAAATATTTTGTCAGAAATAAATACAACTTATAAACTTTTATAAAGCACTCAGTACTGCATTAGAAGAAGTAGGTTTATAGCCATGAAAGCTCATGCTAAAATAAAAAAAAACAGTCTTAAAGGTACTGCCACATTTCGTTCTTTTCCCCCTCTCTGTTTTATAAATCTTTAAGACACTATTTCTACCATACTGTACAGGCTTAGCATCCCTTACCCAGAAATTTAAGATCTGAAAACTTCCAAAAAACAAAACGTTTTGCTGCAAGCCACTCACATCCACCTTTGATGTTTGTTCATCTCTCAGATCCTGAGTCTCTCTCTAATCTCATGTATCATACACAATACAAGTAGCAAACAATTAAGACACGAGGCTGGAGAGAGATGTAAGCATCTGTGAAATGGCAGGAGGCATGGATTTGCGCTGACCACTGTGCTTAGATTCACGCCATTTCACAAATCCTCAGTCTCCTTCTAGACTTGTGTCTCTCTCCAGCCTCGCAAACACCATACATACTATGCTAATTGTGTTGTGTATTGTGTATTATGTATATGCAAATACCTGCAAATAATAATAATAATCCCAAATTGAAAAACACTTCTGGTCCCAAGCATTTTGGATAGGGGATAATCAACCTGTATTTATACTTGTTCTAAGTAACAAAGGACTAGATTTGGCTTTTGGGAGGCCAAGTATCCTCTGTACATGTGAATCTATATCCCATTGTGTCAAAGCAGCAGCAACTATAACAAGCCAGCTTCAGTTGACTACAGCTAAAACTCCCAGCCATGGGTACAAGACAGAATGCCTTCCTAGCTACCTTTGCCCTTAAAAATAATTTATTTTAAAAAATATTAGATGCATACCTATACTTTTGAAATGAACTGGAGTTGTAATAAAGCTGTGCAAAGTCCTCAACTATTATGGAAGGGCAAGATATAAGTAAATAAAACAAAAATAAAAACAAATACTGAATATCTTGAGAAGGTAAGCAACTTTCCTTATATAGTACAGCAAAAGGGGGTGGATCAGGGTACGTTAGGCAGGCACCCTGCCAGAATGCCACAGTGATGAGCACAATGCAAATACTAGGCAGACTGAGAACTCTCAGTTCCGTATTGCATCACAGGTTATGCTCCCACACACCCTGGCCTGTTATTGCAGAATGAAATGCCCAAAGTATGTATGATAGCAGACTATGGGGGGGTTGCAGACTGCCAAAAATAGTGCAAATTGAGTCCACTTTTAGGGTTAGGGTTAGTGCTAGGGAATCATGGGAATTGGTTTTTTTTCTGAGACATTGAGCCTTCTCTGTCAGAGAGCTCTGGTGCCACAATAAACTACAGTTCCCATGATTCCCTAACCCTAACCCTAAAAGTGGACTCAATTTGCACTATTTCTGGCAGTCTGCAACCTCCCTATGTATCTCCCCCAATCTGGTCTAATACAAGAGTAGTGTGCAGTTTACACGGAGTACATGTGTATGTAAGTTACTTCACCTGCTCCTCTTACTCCCACTCTCTGTTGCCATTATGCCTTTTACTCCATCTGGGCTCCAAACCAGGAGAACAATATCTAGGGGAGGGCTGCCACAGAAAACAAGTGAATGGGAAGAATGATCACTTTCTGTTTCCATCCCTTTTGGTACTTTAAACTGAATCCCAACATCGCACACTATATAGGATTATGGCAGATCTACCTGTGAACACAGAAGCTTGCTACATACAATACACATCTGGTAGGGACAGTCTGGATTGTTATCCCCACTTGTTCAGATGCTTTTAAAAATGTCCCAATTTCTCTCTCCTCTTCCCAGTTGTCCCCTTTGTCTTCAGTTTACTTCCACTGTTGTAAATTGTGTTCAAAGTGCAAAATTATTTTTCACTCACTTAACTTGGGGGGAGAGAGTAAAATCTTACCCTACCCAGCAGACTCAGGCAAAGACAAAATGCAGCAGCCTCTTCTAGCTTGTCTGATTTTCCTCATTAATAGCTTTTGACCACATGGTTACATCTTGAAACGTTGGAGGATATGCTGCTTCCACTGTTTGCATCAGGCTTCACATTTAATTGCTTTATTTAACTGATAGCATTGGTATTTTGTTCTGGCTTAACCTAGAAACAGCTTTACTAAAGAAAGGCAGAAAGACGAGAAAGACTGATAACAGAATAATCAGTCTCTTTCTGGGAAACCTGCTGTATGACTTTTCTTGAATGATTTTAAGAAGCACAACTTGCTATATAGCTCCTTGGATTCTCTGGGGTTTGCCAGATATTGTTGCCGCCACATCTACTCGTTCCACATTTTCTGGGAGTTGTTGGCAGCCATTTCTAGAATCTGCACTACAATTCTTCCAAATCCTTTTTACGACCAGAATATATCTGAGGTGATCCTATGACCTGACTGGCACATTTTCTCCTCTCTGATATTTTTAATCTTTTAAAGTGCTATAGTACGTAGGTCCCACTTCACTGATGCAATGTAACTCTCTTTCAAAATTAAAATAAAGGAGTGAAGGATACTTAATGTTCCAATATGTCTTGGAGGTAAAAAGAAATCTACACAAGGTTGAGAATAAAATGTTTCAGTAACGTCTAGAAAATAGTTTGGTACTACAGAAACGTCATTGGGAGAAGTACAAATACCACAAACCTATGACACATTTACCCCACCTGGAGGTGCTCCTAGTTTTTAATTTCTTTTGCTGCAGGGACATATGCATGCACAAACACACACACTTATGCCAAATTATCACTGTAAAGTAAAGCCCTTGGAAAGAGTGACAAGAACAGAAGGGCACTTGTGAAACTACTTGTCTGTTCCAAAAGTATTAGTCTACAACTCCCATTGTTCCTCAGCCAGCATGGCCATTCAGAAGTTGTAGTTCAAAACACTTTAGGGTACTAAACTGGAGAAGTCAAGCCTAGGGCACTACGCTTGGAATACATGTATTCATCAGTGATTCCCAAACTTTGGTCTTCCAGGTGTTTTATTAGACTTCAGCCCCCAGAAGCCACAGTCATCTTGGCCAATGTTCTGGGATTCTGGGAGCTGAAGTCCAAAAGACCTGGAAGGCCAGAAAGTTTATGAATGACTGAAGTAGATGACTAAAAATGGGACCAGAGTGAAGCATAAGCAGCTATCCTATGGTGACTTGAATTTAGCAGGCACAGGAGGGAATTACACTGGATGCAATGGATTAAGAAGTCTTGGGGCTGGTTCTTACTGCACTTAACATGGTGGTGGAGTGGATCTGTATGTTTATTTTAACACACCCTTCCTCTTTGTACGTCACTCCTAAGTTCTTCTTACTATAAGGAGTATTCACTTTAGAAATCTGCTCTCTAAAATCAAAGAGAGATGAGGATCAAGTGTGTAAAAGAACACTGTTGCCCTTCTCCACAACCAAATATGCAAGAATTCCCATATAAGCAGCACAACATTTGTTGTTATTGTGTGCCTTCAAGTCATTTCTGACTTATAGAGATCCTAGGGCAAACCTATAATGGGGTTTTCATGGCAAGATTTGTTCAGAGGAGGTTTGCCATTGCCTTCCCATGAGGCTGAGAGCATGTGACTCACTCACGGTCACCCAGTGGGTTTCATGACTGAGCTGGGAATCGAATCCTACAGAGTTGTAGTCTAATGCTCAGACCACTACACCATGCCAGCTCTCTAACACACCGTATATGACAGTAACATGAAACTGCTTTCACACATGGAATAAAAACTTGTTGCAGTGCTCAAAACTTTCCTTACATGAGGAAAGAGCTTCCCCAAAGTCCACTCAAGTAAGAAATAGGACTGCTCTGCATGGTCCCAGACAGATTCTAAATTTGGAGCAAGGTGCTCTAAGAGAGTGACCTGTAACAGCAAGAACTGACAGTGTCAACCAATTATCACACAGCTTGAGCTGTTTGCAAGAAGGTTCTCCATGTATTTTGAACAATTCGTAGCTGTAGAAAAAAGTAAACATTTCTAAACTGCACAGAGTTTGGAGCATTTCCACCTTTCCTTTGCAAACTGGCATAAAACATTCTTACAGGGGAAAAACAACAACCCAGCAGCAATGTTGAGGCCTTTTCAACCGAAAGATCACCTCCTGTCACAAGTCTGACAAAGTCTAGAGTACATTTCTGATGACCCTCTGCTGAGCAAAACAATGACCCAGTGTTTCTCCTTGGCTGGCATTGCTGCCCTCCTGCTCTTTGCAGTTTCTCTCTTCCAAATTTGACACATTCAGCCCCAAAAGGTTCGTTTTCTTTAGGGAAATCAGTGCACAGCTCTAAAACCCGAGACAAAAGGCGAAGAAAAAAAAGGAAGAAACAGGAATGAATGGCCTTTAAATGAGGAGCTCAGCAACTGAGCTGTAACGCTGGAAAAGAAGTCAGCTGCTTGCTCAGTTAGCAAACAAAAATCAGCAGAGAAAGTCGTGGATTGGGGCTACATGCACTTCGCCTCCTCATGAACTGAAAGACCAACCAACATCTCTCTACAAAATACAGTAGTTTAATTAATACTTCTCCTATCCTCCATTCTTCTCCAGTAAGTACACTCTAATAACTTTCCTGCCTGCTTTGAAAAGTTACTTTTCAAGATGAATAAACCTATAGTTCACTAGAGCCATCTAAAATGAGCAGTGGTGAGACTTTGTGATTGTTATTACAACATATTATTTATTCATTTTAAAAGTTATTTTCCAAGCTCAGCATTACAAAATGGACATTTTATAAATCAAATGCCCCCCCCCCCACCCTTTATTTTCCTGCTGTGAGGTATGTCGTTACTTTTTTAGTTCAGGGTTAACACTAACCTAATGTTCTTACTAAGATATCCATCAACCAAC